AAAAAATTGGTAAGCTGAGGGGGGGTCATGCGATTTTTAAATGGTGCTTCCCAAATCCCACCAGCCCCCCCTCCCTCATAAAAAATGAACGGTCCCCAACATTTGAAATTAAGCGCTGTTTGACCTCCTTTACATGCGTGCGTCAAAATACGTTGCATAACAGAATTTATTACTCAAGAATCAAACAAAAAACGAGCCATGAAACAATTAATCAACCGCGATTCGGGAAATCCTTCGATGGCTGTTCATTCGAAACATTCTTCAAAACAACATGGTACAGAGTACTGTGCAATTATCATCCCGCAAACCTTGGCTCGGTGACCCAAAGAACAGAGATAAGCGAAATGATGTATTCGACGACTACCTTGCACATCGACTTTTTTCCCACCTTCGCTGGACCTTTGTCGGCCTCAAAGTGAGCCGCGTTGTTTAGGACAATCGTCGGCAAGGGTCACACTCACAGCCCGACACATAGTCCTTTATCGTCGGTAAAAGACTGGACGCTTTGCATGCTGAGCGCTCCGATGCTTTTTATTAGTGCGGTACTTTGAGGAAATTTAGCACAAATAAACTTCCGTGGGAAAAGTAAGGCCTCGTTGACTTGCGTTTGTAACAGAAAATGAACATCGTGGAAAGCGGTTACATGGAAATAAGCGAGGGGACTGGGGACAGGGTTAGAACGGGGAATTAAGCCCTCCCATTTCTTTTTAACCTGTACATTTACAAGAACGCAACTAAAATGTTATATATGGGAGAACTGTCTAAAGTCTGCGCTCTTAATCTTTGCAAAAGAGCGCGCAAACCCAAGACAAAACAAAGGGAAGTTATCCCTCTCACCGATCTATAACCACAGCGGTGCGAGACATCGGAAGGGAATTAGATTTTTCTTCACCCATAATGGTGTTTATTCCAAAAAAAGCGCGTAAAGCGCGGAAATACAAGGTATTTTGATTTTGTCCGAGAAGGTATTAATAATATTAATATTAAAATATCTTTGAACAATGAACCAGTGGTGACAGCAAGTGGACCAGCGTTACGCAATACGTGATCATGGACAGTCAACATTGCTTCCTGTGAACATTTGCCTGGATTTATAGCCGGACTGTTCATTCAGTCTTTCGTCTACAGCCAATTTTCCTGTTTTAAAATGAAAAGCGAGCGAAGCGGTAGCCGGCATGTAACAAAATGGGAGAGAGTGTCTACAAAGCTGAGTCCTTCCCATATTTTCATGTATTTTTGTCTCTTAGCTTTTCCAAATGAAAATCCTGGAACAAGAGGGAAGGGAAAGCACGTTTAGAGAGTCTGCCAATAAACAAGTGTCGACTTGATTTATAGCTACTTGATTTATTGCAAATAAGCCAAGATCAGTTACTGTCTCTGGAGAGCTTTTGTATATAAAGCTCTTCCGGTGTAAGAACTGAACAGAGTCCATCGCGCGCGTGTGTTGCGAAAGAACACGCGAGAGGGGCGACACGCAAAAGCTGGTGGGCCGTTGAAAATGCATGACCGATATTTGAAGCAGTATGATGGCGTCAGATTATTTCTCTGAAATGTTCATGGATTTGTCGAGGGCCCGGGATCGAGGGGTTTCATGTCAAAAATAGTTCAGCCTGCTCTGCAGGCTAACGTGGAGCTTGTTAGGGCGAAGGGTGGGGAAAGTCGCGCGTGTGCTCACGAACAAATGAAACGCGCATGGAGTAAAGGCATGTTTATGGCGTCGAGCAATTCTTCGATTTTCTCACGGTTCTCAAAGTTCTCTCCCTTGGGGTTATCGAAAGGGGAATTTTCTTATCTAAAAACTTATTTCAGTTATTTGACGAACAATCGAAAGTGAACGGGGAAGCAAAACAACATTGCTCGTATTGGTAGGCAGCTGCCTGGAAATGCTCTCTGCCTTATGTCAAACTTATCAGCTTATGTTAATCCGATTATCCCGGCAGCGACTGAAAATTGAAGGTGTTTCACCGAAAAGCGGGGAAAAGCCGCCACACTTTCAAGCCGACTTTGAACACAAGCAACTCACGTACGACAAAAAGAGCCTTTCTAATTTTTACGATTTCACGGTGAAAAAAAAAAAAGATAAACTATGCGTCCGGAATTTGTTTACGATAGCACTTCGTCAAAGAATGAGTAACACGATTGGAACTTTTTCCGTCACGTTCAAAGGATAAACAGACTGTTATTTTGTTTGCATTTAATATTTAGTGCGTCTCTTTACCTCTGTTTTCAAACAAAAAGCTTGTAAGATGTGAAAAAGAATCCACTTGAATGGAAGAAGAAAAGAAAAATTTCGCGCCTGTTTGCGCGTGAGAAATATTGTGTCGGCATGTTTCTAATTAGTTGCTATTGTCAGTGATCGCTCATCCGCGAAACGAGCATCTCGGGTCTTAATCACTGAGGGTTTATTGCTTCCTACATCCTCGAAAACTCACTTTTTTGTGTCCCATCGCGGTATATACAAGATGTTAACACTCAAATCGCATTACCCACGAAGGGTCGCTGTTTTGACGTTGTATTATAATTGCTCATAATTTGCTAATAACATGACTCCACCCAAAAAACATTTCAATTAATAGAAGAATACTGAGTAACACCTCAAGCGTGGGAAAATGATACCTCAAGCTCTAAAAGCTTCGTCAAAGTTTCATTTTGATAGATGGGATAATAAAAGCTTTACTTACAGTTGCTTAAGTTTCAGATTAAGAAATTCCGATAATTCAGCAAGATTAGGGTTAACAAGCCGTTCAATCAGTGTACTGTGTGTATGCGTGACAACATAATACGCGCCGAAAAGGTTAAGTTAAGCTTTTTGCTAGTTTTTTTGCTCAGTTTTGCTTTTTCGCAGAACATACTGCGACTAAAAAATTCACGATGCGATAAATAATTGCTGTAATTTGAAGGACTAAAGAAATAAAGCCAACCCTTAACCTCATAAGCATCTCGATAATTTTCATCTACACCCATCGGCTGTTCTGGATCATGTTTCTGGGATAGCTGTCAAATTAGAGCAGCGGTGTTGTTTTATCTATCGAAGCTGTAACCTGGCGATAATTCAATGTCTTCAGATCAACAGCTATGTTCCATCAACACCGTTAAATTTAACTCAAAGCATGCCAGCCACCCGCTTGCACCCTTCAGCCACCCAACTTGAAAGTTTTGGTTCGACTTCCGGTTGCAAATCTCGCTTCTTCAAAGCAATAGCAATACATACGCATTTAATCTCACCCATGATTGTCCAATTTGCAAAGGTATTGTTTTTATTGCAAGAGTTGTTTGTTCCGCTGGGAAAACCTGTCATTTCCAACCCAGTGTTTTCGTAACATGCGTGAAATTGTCCCTAATTACAGCATAATTGATGCCAAACCGGGGTATATATAGCTGTGACTTCTGCGGTCAGCTTCATTTCCCCACGTGCTATCTGTCGCGCCGGCATCGAAACCAGCGAAACATTTTCAAAACCATCATGGTAAGCAGATAAGATTTTCGAACAGCCTCTTGCTGTTGCAATTTGTAACACAATTTTCAATTTCTTTTACCTTTGCAGTAATTTTGCTTTTCAATAGCTTTGTTAGTGGAATTGCGTAGTGAACTCCATAAACGTTTTGATCGCAACGTTCTATAATTTTTAAATTACTGTTGACATGATTGTGGCAATTTTTTTTAACAACCAAAAAGTTTCGATCTTGAAATAGTCGTTAGTCAAAAACGTTCGCGAACATTTGATTCAACAGCGCGAAGACCATTGAATTGTAAACATAGGTGTAATACCAGATACTTTACTTTGCAGGAAAGCAGCACTTATCTGTTTGGACGTAGATTCAGGAACCGTCTTTTTGTTGGAGGGCTTCCACACAACGTAAGTACTGTTTACTACTTTTATCTTCTGGTTATTTCAAGACATAATACCGTTATATTTCCAGATTATAACTTTCAATTGGTGTGAATAGTTCGTTTGATCATCTAGCTTGTCCACTCGAAACCGCGAGCGGCTTAGTAATTTGAACGGGCGTATTGTGTTTGCTGAGATCTTGAATTTTTATTTTTTGTTGATAACTTAATTCTTAAGAGGCCCTTGAAGATCTCAAAGCCCCTTGTAATCCTTGAAGTTTTGGGTACAGTAAGCAATAACGACAATGTTTGTTTAATTTGAAAGCGCAGCATGAGAATTTAGCAAATGTACCGATAGTTTGCCATCGATTGTCGATTGCTTGTGTTTCCTGAGGTTAGATTTGAAACATGTATTAAAGCCTTAAGTCAAGAAAAAATAACATGGGTCGGATTTACTGAAGGAGCAAAGGTTAAAATATGCAGTACTGAGCTGCAAAATTCGTTTTTCCCGGTCGCGGTGAACGGTTGAAGCTTGATAACCACTGGTAAAATAAGTGAGACCTCGTTGCGATCGGTGAAGTGGTTTCATGCTGCTCTGTAAATTATTTATATTGTGTGTCGACACTAGCCAGTGGTTTTGATCGGCCGTAAATCCTAAGATGCCGAATTTGTGCTGAGTCGCCTTAAATCTTCGCAACGTTAACAACTCTCTGAAGGGGGGTTTAACCAACGTTAATTATGCGTGGAGAAAGCGCGCGAATTTCCACGCTGCGTGAATTATCCAGAATCTCGTCTTGCCTTTAATAGGAAGTTCGAGTAAATGTGGAGCTTAAGCGTTTTTGCAGGGTTGTTTTGTTACTGTCATTCGGCTACAGTCTTTTTTCTCTTCAATTTACTCAACCCCTTCCCTCCATATAGTCAGGATTTGTCATTTCTCCAGTGGTACAATGTCACTGGGAGAGCTATTTTTGTCTTCCATTCATACGGGAAGTTCAGATGAAAAAGGGGCGTGAAGAGTTTGCCTGAGAATTCCTAGAAAGGAAGTAGACTATGAGCCTCATTAATTTTTTTTTTGCTGTTCTAGCTGACAAAGCTAACAATTTAGCTTTGCCAGCATTTTAGCTTTACTGCTGCAATTTTAAAGCCACCATTGTTCTGTTGAAGATAGGAGGTGCTTTCCATTATGCCAAAGATTCCGGAAATTTGGGTCGGGAGTCAATGGAAAGGTCCATTTCAGTTCCTTCTGACCACAACATTTGGGATCACCTCTGGAGGTGGTCCACTAATTTCATCCGGACCTGTCCGACCAAAATTTGCTGTTCCATTTTTGACAAACCGGTTCATTGCCCTGCTTCTCTTCATTTTTGTAGGGAATTTGGAAAAGGAATAAAAAATGGTAAGAGCCATTCCTCTTGGTTGGCCTGGTTTGATCGGAAAATTTCACTCTCATTTCACTGTTCATTTCACTTTCCTCGGGTATTCCCACTGGTGTCTGAGCGGTTGGTTTGGCATAATGGAATTAGCATCCACAGTGGACAAAGCAAGATTATAGCATCATGGCTGCTTTTTTGGTCCAGGCTAGCCTTGCTTTTTATGCAAAAACATCAAAATTTATACAAAGGAAAGGGTGGCAAGGCGAGATCTCAGAATCTGCGGCAATTTGGTTGATGGAGCTCGTTTGAAGAGGCCCAGAGTGCAGTTGGGTAGTTTGTTAAGCAACTGAAAAGCTAGAGTCCCTCAATTGTACCCTGCACAAAGTCGCTCAAAAACGCATCCAATAATTCGTGTATCGGTTGCGGTTAAGATACCCAGAAGCAGATTTAGGGGGGTGGATTGGGTGACTAGCCACCCCCCCTTTTTTTGAGAAGCAAAACATAAAAACATTGGGAAAGGTTGTGAATATAATGGCAGAATTCAAGGCAAACTATCTGGTCAGGTACCTCATTGTAATTTCTGACACCTAAAGTGTCTAGAAAATGATTGAGAAAACTGCATGTTAAAAACATTTGTCTTTATTTTGTAGACAACACCACAAGAGCTGGCTCAATATTTTAGCAACTTTGGCCATGTTGTGGAGGCTAAACTTATTTTTGATGAAAATCAAGTTCCAAAGGGGTGAGTTTTATTTTCTGGTTTACCATCAATTCATCAATTTTATGCATCTCCTTGACTTGTTCAATGCTGGTTTTCGCTAATGCACAACCGTGAGCGTAAACAACATATACAGCTGCAGTAATAAAGGTGCTGTTAAGTATACATAGCACAAATGAGACCAAAGGACTCCTGCAAGGTGCCGCCCAAGTAATAAATTTAGTTAAAAAAGCTAAAAATTACACAGTCATATCAGCATATGAATATCAAAAGGAAAAATTATTATCACAAATTATCAACATATTACTGCGTCTGCTGGCTTTCTGCATTGATGCTTAGAAATTTACTTGTAAAATGGGGAGAAATTGCACTCCCAACAGAAACACTCTCTGTTTGTGCTGGGTTAATTCTTCTTGGTTTTTTCTAGCCTGAAATATTTCTGCCCTACCGTAATGCAGTTTGAGAAAAATTGATATGCTTAGCACTCTCTTCCACTTTTTTTTTTATCTCTTTACAATTGTGATCCCAAATGTTTTAATTTTTTGACAGCTATGGCTTTGTGACATTTCAGTCAGAAGGTGATGTGAGAAATGTGACAGAAATGGTAAGACTTCATTGGTCTGGCCTGTGTTTGTTTTGAGAATGATATACAGAGGGAGTACTTAAGAGAAATGGTGAGAAGAGTTGGGTAGTCCCTCATCCTATAATATTGCAGACTGGGCATGTATAATAAAGAAGACTAATGACCCTGTTCACTGAGGAGGGACCAGCTGTAACTGGGACAGGTGGCAGCTGCTCACCAGCAAAATGTGTATGAATAGGTCATTGACCACAGTGTAATATTTCTATTCTTATTTCAAAGGAAAGGTCAAATTAGGTGCTTCATTTGAGGGATTAATGTTTGGGGAACATATTCTAAATTTATTATAAAATGTATTGTCCTTCTTGACCAAGTAATACACAGTTGTGAATCAGTGAATTGCATTGGAATTATGCAACCAAAGTGTGGATGGATGCAGTCTTCTATGCAGAAACTCTTTGGGCTTGTTGTGTTTTCTATCTTCCTCTAAGTAGCAGATATTTTTTGTGACAACCCAAAGGAGCTTTGCCCAGGTGGCATGGATAATGAGGGCTGAAATGCTGAATGCACCTTTAAAATTTCAACCTGGATTTTATTTGTTATTACCAGCAAAGCAACAAACTTAAACATTGTTTGGCGGTTTTCATTTTTTCAGGGAACTTTGTTCCTCAGGAATAAAAAGCTCAACTTAGGTCCGGCAGTAAAGAAACAGGTGGGTACTTAATCAGGGCATGTTGTGGTTTAACCCTTTAACTGGCAAATTTCCTCAAAAAATGCTGTTTGTTACTGTAAACTTGGTTTTTTGCCTGCCATGACCCTGAACTGGCCTCAACTTTGCTGAGATTTATTTCTTACCAAGGAGCAAGATTTCCCTGAGCGTTAGGTACTAGAATGTACAATGTCTTAATTTGGAGCATGCACATGAGCTCCTTTGCTTTTTCTCGCCCCTTTTACTCTTGTTGCTTTTGCTCTTCATATCCTTTCTGACAGCTGTAAAAAGTTCGGTGTTGATTATCTTTAAAGTCTGGAAATGGAAAATTGATTTTAGGTGTAATGGGCCATTTTACCACTAATATTGCACCAAAAACTGCTCACGTTTTTCTTTCAATTAGCTACGTCTGAATGTGGTTGATTTTAAAAACAGAGAGTTGTGCGGATAGATCCATCCTAGCTCTATTATCTGTTTATCAAGAATATCTATTGATGCCTAAGTTGATGACATCACAAGTGGTACAAAGTGCATGACCCCTCAATTCGTAAGAAAGTGTATGATGGTCAGTTAAAGGGTTGAATGCATTTTGTATATTTTGGTTTGAGATGTTGTCAGGGCAGTTTAAACTTGACTTTTTTTGTATGCTAGTTAAGTGCGCGTAAGACAGGAAAACATGTTGAAGGCATGCGTTCTTTTCAAACCCAAAACAAACTTATAAACTGGACATTTACAGTATACCAACATTTCACCACGTCATGCATCAAGCACAAGAACAGTGGGCCTTATTGCTGGACTACGTAATGTGAGAAAAGATTACAAAAAACTATGTAGTCATCACCTGTATTTTACATTAATTATTATTGCTAAAAATAAGTCTTATTAGTTTCATTGTACAATTTTGATATTCAGGTCACGCCTGTAGAGAATCCCGAACTTGTTGTAGGTATGTAAAGAAGTCCTGATGAGAAGTAAATGCATGAATTTTGTTACTTGCTTGTTGCAAAATGATGTTTATGATATCTATGCATCAAAAACAGGCCATATCAAAATGATATCTATACATCAGTAGCTAGCTGGACATTAAAAACTTAGCTTAAAAATTTCCTCTTCCTCCAGGGAAAATCATAAAAGTCTAACCATACAGTTTTACACATTTGTTGACATCCTAGGCATTAACCTTGGATGGGGGGGAGAGGGGACACATTAATGAATTGCAGAGGTGCACCAGCAAGTTACTTTTAAAAACATGTCACAAAACATCTCCTAGATAGGAATTTTATACGTATATTTATTTAAATTTAATAATTTATGTTAAGTGAATTTTTTTTTTATCTCACTCCCTTATACAGTGTCCAGCAATCAAATGAGAGGGGAGTATTTTTACCCTGTGCCTGCGTCTAATGTTGTGACACCTGTACAGGTATAATATTCAAAAATAATTATTATCAATCAATAATGGGCTCAGATCCTTAATGTAGTTACACCTGTAAAATGTACCATGGCTGTAAAACTAAGAAAGCAATATCTTGAATCTATATAGAGCAGGAAAACAGGAGCTCCAAAACAAAAGGTTGATGCTGAACGGTACTATAAAGTTAAAAAATGTTTTGCATAATTATAAGAAATAGTGAGACAGCATACATAATGCAAGTGAAAGTTAAATTCTTGACTGAGTTTGTGAGACAATATTTTATTTAGTTTTAATGTTGCTGACTACATCGTTCCTTATTGATTGTAGTATCCGACATACATGCCTCCAGTGTACACTCCTGAACATCAGGTGAGACTAACAAAAGAGAACTAAACTTTGTTATTATTCATTTCTTAAACTGGAAATGTGACACTTGCAATCATTGCAGCTAATTCTGGGAGAGCTTGGGAATGTGAACTACAAAATTCTGTACTTAGTATTCAATCAATCAATCAATCAATCAGTCGTTGGATTGATCAATCAATCTTTATTTTATAGAGGGTAACACCTAAAAGTTACACCAGTAATAAACTTGCATTCACACTTTCATTGAAACATGTTCATAACTGCAGACTGTTAATAATTATAAGAATTTTGTTTCCAAACATGTGTCAGGTGTCTATGACTTTGCAGCTTAAGCGCATATTATGGACAGTTAACAGTCCGATTAATCCAGAGTTTCTAGAATCTTGATCTCTCTATAATAGAAACACTTCCTTTAAATGGGGCTCTCTGCTGTTCTTCTAATTAAATTGGTATATGTCCATATTAAAGAGGTTTGAACAATTTCTCCAACAGGTCTGTTGTTCACCTTTAATCACAATCAGCTGTTTTTTTTTTTTCACTGAGCAGGTGTCATATATACAGCAACCAGCCCCTTATGTAATACATTATCAAGGTAATTATATATTAAACTTAGTATTTACTTTGTATTTCTTTCCAGTATGAGATTTGGAATTTAAGTGTTTAGATAGAGAACATTTTCCACAGAAGCAACTCTGTTTTTGTACATTAATGAGAGAGCATTTGCACTGATGTGATAGTATTTGGTGTTATGGATTTGCACATAAAAAGGGAGGGTACCATCTACCCTTTTCTACTCCTGGGTGTACAGAGGTACTGTAAAGAGTAACGTGTCTTGCCACAGAACATATGATTCCTTTCACCTGGGCTCCAGAATCTGGGTTACTCTTGGGCAAGAGGCTTTACGCTCACAGTACATCTCTCTGCATAAGTGACAGGAGTGTAAATAGTTACCTTCAAGTTTTTAATGCATGCTGGGAGTGGAGTTGGGGACAGAAGTAAAATTCTTCAAGTTGCTTCATACTACAAAAACCAAAGATAAGTGCAGGGTTGACGGACCATTGGGCTCAACTGCAGACTAATCTCTGAACTAGAAAAACTCATTTATGGTGTAATTTCTGTTTTTTTGTTTTTTTTTTCAGAGGAATACCCAGGTGCTCCAACAGCCCTGCCTGTTTCTAACCATGTACATGTAGGTGTCACTATACACTAAAATTATCATGTGAATAAAGACTGTAATGATAAAAAAAAAAAGATTAAAGAGAAATGAAAAGATGTTTGGGGTAGTTTTCAAGACATATTTCCAATAGAACCTTTATTATCTATACCAAGGCAGGTAGTTTGGTACCAAGTTAATCTGACTAATGTATGATTTATTGGAGGAACATTAAGTCACAGATCACAAGAACTGTTGCTGTTATCTTCAGAATGTGGCATGAATAATACAGCTGTGTTCCTTGGTAAGGTATCTCTGTTGATTTCAGGTCTCTTCGAGTCCACAACATAGAAGAAAATTGCCACCACGCTTTAGACGATCACGTGAAAACTAGTTTCCCATGATTTTATTATTTTTAGTTTCTTCAAATCATTTCTTAAATATCACTAGAAATAGTTATTTGTGAAACTGCACGTGTATATATCTTACTTTAAAAGCATTGCTCTAAAATCGGATTGAATATGAGCTCCTGAAATGTAATGTTTCAAAAACTGGGAAAATAAAATATATTTTTGATCTTTTCTTTTGACAAGCAGCTTAGATTATACAATGAAAACATCATTAAAGAACTGATCAGTGATTCGATCTCTCATTTATTTTTTATGGCCACATTATTTAAACAAGAGACATTTGTTAAATGAAGGTGCTTTTTTACAACAAAAATCTTTCACAAAGAGTGTACTTTGAGTTTTCAATTTTTGTAGTAGTTGAATATATGTGTTCCTTATCATTGAGTTTACTAGAAACAGTGTAATAGTCTGGGGCAAAGAAGAGTTGCTGGAATTAAGTTGATTAGAGTTGAACCCAAACAAGGATGAGAATCATGAGGAAAGACAGTGTTTGAAAAATGAAAACTTGCCCAGTTTGACATTTTGCAATAGAGGCTGTCATAGTTGACGCAGGTCTCAGAGAGGTGAAAGAGAGATTGGTGGCTAGGCAAGAGACCAGTGAGGTGGCTCAACTCTCATCTTTGTTTGGCTCATGCTTGGATTAATACATTCCTAGGTATTTATGAACTGTTTTTAAAATAACTGCCTTTCTCTGTTGAACTCGCACCTGGACAATAAGTATGGCTTTTCCTTTAAGTTGGAAGCTAGAAAAAGGAAGAAAAAAACAGATACAAGTATGGAACTGATTTCATTACAATGAGTAGTTTGTGACTACATTGAAATATTCTGATGACTTTCTAATCAGAATGAAGATCTCTTAATAAGATTAATTATTTTTGACTTAAAAACTGACTGACAACACAAGATGTAATTTTTATATTGATAAGCTTATGCTATTAACATGTTGTCACAATTTTAAAGCTATTTATTTTTGTATGGGTATGTATTATAATAGATTCAAGGAAGGGAGCTTACATCCTGCTACGAATTTTAAAACTGATTCGCTTTTTTCATGATTTTATCTAACTTGAACTTATAGTTTCTTAGAACCAAACAAGTTCCAAAGCTATAGAATCCGGAATTAAGATCAAACAGCAATGATACGCGTGTATTACGCTTAGATTATTGCGTTTTATATAATTATAAGGTGTGCTCGTCTTAATTGATATTGTAATCGTGTCTTCGCGACACAAATGCAACCAGAATATTTGTAAAATGGTCTCGTTAAAAATGAGCTGGAGGTTTGTACACAAGAAAGTGTGAAGTGTATTTTGCTATTGTAGCGCATAAATGGAAATGAAAAGAACGTTTTGATACCTGTATTTGTGTCCTTGTTTTTTTTGCCAGTGAAGATCCTATCTTCCACGCACACTGCAGGTTCATTAAAACTTTTTTTACGGGTTTTGGGTAAGTCGCCAAGTTGCTCAGAACAGCGTTCGTCACCAGTCCCCTCTGGCAGGGTTCATCGAAGTCCCCAAGTCCAAGTAAAGCAGATTTGGCATGGAAAAAAAATTATTTACAAATGTAGAAGTCGAATATGGATCAAACGGGCGACCCCGCAAGAGTGAAGGAGAACCTTCGTTGCAGTTCGGTGTGTGTTGCCTCCGGGAATTGATGTGCGCAATTTTGTGGGATTTGTTTGTGATAGGACGATCGACCTTTTCCCTTGTGAAATATATACCGGTATGAAAGGGTCAGTTAATTTTATCGTATTGAACATAACAGACGATCATGACCGATGGACGTTGTACGATCATGACTTTGTTAAGTCAAGCCTTAAAACGTACATGTACAGTGAACGTAAATGTAAACTGATAAACGGTGAGTTAGGATGGAATTACCATACAGTGCGCTGAATTAAAAAGGTTTTTACGCGTACAAGAGGTTTTGAAAGTGAATTGACTCGGGCAGACCTTTTCAAAACCTGCTGTTGTGGAAAAGAAACGCTTAAAACTGAGTTAAATTCGGTCCGTTCAATAATTCCCTCACTAGAGTGAAGGTGTGAAGTCGCAGGTTTTAATCAAACCGTTTTGACAAAAAATGGAGCAAAATTAAATCCCCTGGAAACAGTTAAAAAAAGGTTTTCCATCCATTATTACAGTTCTATTTTAAAACTCATCAGTATTAAAGACCTACAAGTTTTCAACAAATTTGCCCTCTTCCTTATAAAGGATAACCTCTTCCAGGCGTTCAGTTAGTTGGGGCGGAACGCGAAATACAGCGCGCGAAAAACTTAAAAAGCGCCGTGAGTCTCGCCGCGC